ACCTCTAGAGAAAATTCCGCCACCCGGCAATTTGCCAACGAGTGTTTGAGAGGTCGTTGCGAATCGGGCAAACAGTGGGCCCCGAGAGACAGGGCTTGGCTGCACTGTCCACAAGTGCCTGTCGGTACGTCCCCCAAGCTGTATAGGCCCTGGCGGGGTCCGGTCGAAGTGCTATGGGCCGACCGGCCTCAGTGTGTTAAGATCCAGTTCGGCCGCCAGAATTGGTTCGTAAATCCGTCGTGACTTAAGCTGTTTGTTCATCCTCGTCACGTTCCCTCATCTCCAATTCCCGCGGGCCAAGTGGCAGGTGTACCGGGCGAGCTGGTGGCTCTGTGGTCCCGCCCACAGGATCAGAGCTCTTGAACCCCACGGCGCTGCTAGCTGCTGCTCCTCCGGACGCCCCACTGAGTGCGGAGCAGCTGGCAACCGACCGCCCCCCGTCGACGCTGCCGCCCGTGATGGAGCAGCCGCACCCAACCTTCTAGTGAGCTTAGGCCCACCTCGCCTGAGGGTCCGGCCATACGGGCCCGTCCCAAAACCGCATGCCTCAAAGGACTCTTTCCACGCATTGCAAGTTGTTACTCTGGTTGTTTATTGTTCTGTGTGTGCGTGATTTTACAGGGGTGCACTGGATGTGGAGGGAGGTCTTGCGAGTTAATCGGTTCATGCATGCTTATTGTTGTTGATCCTTTTTTTATAATATGTGTACATATGTTACTCGCGTAATTTATTGTCGGTCGCCAGTAGTATGTTACAAGGGGGGGGGGGGGGGTGATGTAGTGACATATTACGTCACTTCCATGTCGGGTCTGTACACACATGACGTCACTGCAATGTTGGGTCTGTAATCGTGACGTCACTGCCGGGTCGGTATGGAGGCTGTTGACGAGTGCCATGGGGGTCGTGTCAGGTCGTGCCACTCTGAGTGACCCCGACTGGACACGTGACCGGATCAAGGTGGGGGTCAGGGGCCCAGGGGGGACCTTGGGGGTCACGTAGTTGGGGAGTGGAGCCTTCTCGAGGGGTTGAGAAGGGGGGCGTGGCCAGGGTGTGGCCGGCCACGCCAAGGAGCTTATAAGCGGGCTCAGCACAGAGAGCTGGGCTGTTTGTGCCTGGGATGAAGACGCCTCATGAAGACTCTGAAGAGAGAAGCCTCCAGTCATCATGGCCAAGCAGAAGCCTCCTGGCTTGGTCACACCAAGTAGTACCTGAGTGTTAGTGAGATTAGGACGGTGGTCACTACCTTATGTATAGGGTGTGTTACAATTGTGTTACAGTTGTGTTGCATATTCTTGGTTCTTTTGGTAAAAAAAAATATTGTTTCCCTTCTACGTGACTTTACCGAAAGAACCAAGAATATGAATCCCTGCAGTCACGAAAGCTTTAAATCAAAAGTTGTGTTGCAGTTGTGTTAAATAAATAGTGTTGCCTCCACACGAGTGTGTGCGCCTCTGTCGAATCATTACACTATTACTCAATTAACTCAAACTGAAACTGATACTAAGTATCTTTAAAAAAATGCGGTAGTACAAAGCACCTTTATAGAAACATGTAAAAAAAACCCTACATTTTAATTATATGCACAATTTATTTTACTTGTGCGAATGATTCGGTCTTGCGCACAATTTATTATTTTTTGCGCATAAAATACGAAATCGTGCATAGAATATACTGAATCGTGACCTGTTAAAAAAATATATTCTTTGTAGCTTGCCATCTTTTTCCACTTCCATGGTAAATCTGATGGCTGGGTGTATGAAATTGATTTACCATGGAAGTCTAAAAAGATGGCAAGCTACCTTTTTTGGATGTCCTAATAAAAAAGAGACCTGATGGTTCAATGAGCCACTCTGTCTACAGGAAAGCTACCCATACGGATGCTTATCTGAAACCGGATTCCCACCACCATCCATCACAGAAGACTTCTCTCATCAAGACTCTGCACCATAGAGCCCAATGCATATCCGACCAGGAACACAGGCAGTGAACTCAAGCACGTACACCAAGCTCTTAAGGCTAATGGTTACTCCGACTATACAATCCGCAAAGCTATCACTCAAACCATGAAGAAGGACCCTCTTGAGGAGCCTTTCAAAACCATCACTTTACCTTACATTGCGGGGATCACAAAAAAGATCTCCAAAATCTTGATTAAACACAAGATCCAGGTCCGTTTCAACACATTACATAAAATCCGTGATCTGGTTCCATCTGTAAAAGATGTGATTCCGGACATACAGTACCCTGGTGTCTACAAACTAAGTTGCCTCTGTGGTAGTAGTTACATTGGAGAAACCAAACGACATGTCTCGGACCGAACACAAAGCAGACCTTAAACACGGTAGGACCAACACCTCGGCCGTGGCAGATCACTGTTATTATTCAGTAGGCTCACATGACATTGACTTCTCCAAGACAGAGGTTCTTTGCAAGCCATCGGGCTACCATGAGAGGTTCGTTCATGAGGCTATCCACATATACAAACACAGAGACAATTTCAACCGAGAAGATGGATTCTGGCTTAGCAATCATTGGAAGGATTTGATAAACCATTTCGGGTCTTAATTGATCATGCTTACGGTGGCTTTCAGACAGCATACATAAAATTTTCGTCTCCCCCCCTCCTCTTTTCCGAACATAGATGGACTCGTCCTTCTAAAAAAAACTGTCAAATCGCTATCCGTGGAGCCAACGTGTAAAAATAAATAAATAAAATCTAAACGCCATTTAAAAATAAATAAAAACACCGTTTGAAAAAAAAATACAAACCGCCACTTCTTTCAAATGCTTCTTGCCGTTGTTTTTTTCACACCTGATGATGACTGTTTGTGTTACAGTCGAAACGTCGTGATAATTTTATTGTTGTATATATATTTCATTATTTTATTGTTTCCCTTCAACGTGACTTTACCGAAAGAGCTAAGCATATAATTTATTCAGTTACACCGCTGCTCGTTGGCGGAGGGCTTGTGTTGAAGCCCGCAAGTGACGTCATGTCACCTCCTGCTGCCGCGTGACGTCACGAGATACCAGGAAGCTGCTGCACTGTGCGCGCGCTCACTGAGATCCGAGGTGAGAAGTTCACATCGTGGTTGTTTTTGTGGTGGTTGTTGTTGTTGTTTACCCAGGTAGAGCCTCGCTCCTTCTGTCTCTCGTAGGGATATCAAATGAGTAGCAGCGAGTATGGAATCGATGTCCAGGTTGGAACATTACAACGCGGGGCCAAGCCATGCGAGGCTTTGCCTCCTGCCCTCGCCTGGTTGCATTTGCTTTAATTCTCTGCTTAAGTTTAATTTGTCTTCACCTGGCTCGCTACTTTGAAACTTTGTTTCTTTTTAATATTTCTACAGTTTTTTTTATCTGACCAAGGCCAAGCCCACTTGAGCTGCTACACCGCTCTTTTTCAGAAGCGACCTGCCCACAACAAAGTGGCTTATCAACGTGTGGAAATATCTGTCTGTCAAAAACTCTAAACGCGTGGTTTAGAGAATCCACGGGGAGAGAGACACGCAAACTCCAAATATACATCCATAATACAGGTTTGTTTGGGTTAGATCACGTAAATATATTAAGGTGTCGTGAAACCCGCCACCACCCAGACACAGCCAATTATTAGGGTTTGTCACCTAAACAGAACGTGGCCAATTTGTCACTAGTACAGCCCCAACATTTACAATCTTAAGTACGACGTTTCGCCAGTAATTACAACCAGCTTCATCAGGCGACAGCCAAATGTTGTGGCTTGGCTCTGTGGGACTATAAATCAGCTCGCTGGGTTTATAGCGCAGCACGCTAAACATTGTACTACCGCTCCCCACTCATGCACGAACTATCATCGGAAGTATAGTTTTAACTACTACTATAATGGCCCATAATGTGTTTAATGCGCGTGACGTCACTCCCCCACCGTCATTAAATAATCACGAGCGGGTGGATTTTTACACTCACGCGGGTAGAAGGTCGAGCGGAAAGATATTTTTTGTTCGCAAAGTCGCTTCAAATATGACGTTTCTTTACTGCAAAAGAAGCCCCCCCCCCCCACCGTCACGATCATAAGCAAGACATTTTTTTAAATGCAAATTTGCTTTCAATTTGACGTTTTTTTATTGAAAGTTAATCAAATAATTATCCACAGCAACAAAGTGTATTTGGCGTCTTTATTTATTTAATCAAAAAAGGTAAGTAATTTTTGCTTCTAAATTATGATAAAATATTTAAATTTCTCTGTGATTTTTCAGACATTGTCTCGAATTCAAATGGATTAAAACCCCAGCGAGCGAAAGCAGAAGAAAAGAAAGTATCAGAGCAGTGATTTTGAACTAACTGAAGGCGAGTTAAATGCAGTGCTACAGTGACATGAAGTGAGGTGTTTGATGACGTAGTTTTGTGCAAGAATCACTGCCATTAAGACAGTACAAGAGATTCACGCAAAATATCGTATACTTAGGTTTCATTTTTTAAGTTAAGAAAAATGTATTTACGTGCAACAATTCCTAAAGAAATGTACAACAACAAGAAAACGTAAATGTACATCTTTAATATTACAGCTTCCATCCTAGGATGGGTGAAAGGCTAATTGAAGGTCGGTTAAATACAATTCTCCAGTGACATGAAGTTAAGTGTTTTATGACATAGTTTGTGCAAGGTTCACTGCCATAAATAGTGCTACATTGAAATGCAGTGTAGTGTTTGATGACATTCTTTCGTGCAAGATTCACTGCCATTAAATTTACACCGGGTACAATTATACTCGTAAATATTATAGCTTCCGTCCTAGGATGGGCAAAAGGCTAGTTCAGTAATAACTAAGTTACGCGGCTTCAGTAATCAAACATTAATAGTGATGCCTTGCAATGCTGGCTTTATTATAATTATTGAATTCTGCCAATGAAGTCTGTAAATGTGTTGTGTATATTGTCACGGTTTTTTGTTTGTATTTTACAATCGCAGCGCTTTGTTTCATAATGAGGACAGCTTTTAAATTCGTTGCCCTTGGAGAGCTTCAGGATAAAGAATGTTGGATGTTTTGCCATCTGGTGGGTTTAATCTAATGAAGCTTAAATTTTGGGATATATGTCGACAGAAAATTGGTGGAAGAGCTCTTTGCATCTCAAGAAGAGATTGAAGCTGCTGTTTCGCACCATGATCCTGAAGGCAAAGAGGTCCATGGTGGAAATCTTATTTTGTGTTGGCAAGCCTGTTGCTGGGTCAGTTTGGCGAAATAGGAAATTGTAGCCATCATCACCTTGCCAGAAAATCGTTAGACATTAAAGAGCATCATAGGATCGGTGTCTTTCATTTCTGTGTAGGGTATTATTCCTCAATTGCAAGACGATGCCTCGAGTGACATGCTGTTCAGCAGTCAGAATGACAGCGACTTCAGATGTTGTGAGTGCATTTAAGCGACACTCTTGCTGACCATGTGGAGTTTAGTCGGCATGAATGACAACATTGTACTCTGAAGTCATCTTCTCCATGGCACACTTGAAACTGTGAACAAAGGAGTTTTCTTATGGAGCATGTCTTGCAACAGCAATAGGACTTGCATCTTGGTGTTGATGACATTTTTGCAATGCTGGTGAGCCTGTCTAGTATTGTCAGACGTGAAAGTAGATCTGTATAAATGTATGTAGGTCATTAGGTAGTGGCAGCAGACTGCCAATGCGATTATGTACCTGGCCCTGCACTTTAAATGTGGGCATTTAGCCAGATGTCAGGATGAGTTGGTTGGTGCCAAAACATGTAATTTTGAAGCATGAGTTCTATCTTCTATTGTTTTGGAATTTGCTTGCATACGTAGCGTTGGCAGGTATCAATACATGAATAGGCTCGGGATGGTCATTAATTGTAGGCAGGAATTCATATTTTTTGGGATGTGATCCCTGACATGCAATACTCTGGCATCTACAAACTAAGCTGTGGCTGCGGCAGTAGTTACATTGGGGAAACTAAGCGACATGTCTCGGACCGTGTTCGTGAACATAAGGCAGATCTGAAACACGGTAGGACCAATACCTCGGCCGTGGCTGATCATTGTTTTAATGCTCATGCGAAATTGATTTCTATAAGATGAAGGTACTTTGCAAACCAACTGGCTATCAACAAAGATTTGTTCATGAAGCCATCCATATATACAGACACATTTTCAACCGAGAAGATGGGTACAAAGTTAACAATGTTTGGAAGGACGTTATCAACCAGTTTAAGTAATAACTTGCTGTGATGTTCCCATCCTACTACCTTCCAATGTTAGCTGTTATTTTCGGCTCTCCGATTTTACATTAACAGGTTAAATTTCTCACACTAACACAGCCACCTTCGTTCGCCAAACTAGACATGGCGGCGGCTCTGCGATCTTTCATGAACATGCTAATCTCTCAGATTAACATAGCCACCTCAGAGCGCTCGCCGTGGAGGCCATTCACCGATCTTACATAAACATGCTGCAGTGGCATTGCTGCTGCATTGACATTGCTACCGCGCCCTTGCTGCTGATGCTGCTGATACACTTGGGCCACACCTATCTCCAAACCTTTGTAAACAGTGTGCCTTTAGAGGCTAACCCCTTTTCCTGATGACGACTGCTTGTGTTGCGATCGAAACGTCGGTAGTTTTTTTGTTGATTTCTTTTAACATATCTACGTGACTTTACCGAAAGACCCAAAGAACATGATACAGTTGCAGCCTAGCCCTGGAGGGTCTCCTTTCCATGTCATTGCATGGCAGTAGCTGCAAGAAGTAAACATGGAACCAATGGCAACTAATGAATCAGAAGTGTATATGAAGTGAGGAATGTGTGGAAAAGAAAGACTTTTCCTTTTGGCTGCAGGGTAGGCACCTGGTTGCAGCCATTGTAGTGCTGTTTTCAATCTGCCTTGCTTGTTGGCGGCCTGGAGTTTGATTAGCTCTGGCAGCAGCCATTTGTACTGTTGTTTTTCTGTGTAGCTCATTGCTGTTGAGGAGTTGCATTCGCTGTAGGTCCAGGCATAGCACTGGCAGCATGCCACATTACTTGTTGCTGTACTTGAGTTTCATAATCTGTAGGTGCAGCCATCGCAGCACTGGCAGCATGCCGTCTTGCTTCTTGGTGTTCAGGAGTGTCATATTATCAATAGATGCAGCCATTGCAGCCCTGGCAACATGATCCTGCTTCTTAGTGTTCAGGATATTCATTAGCTGTAGGTGCAGCACAGGCAGCATGCTGTCTAACTTTGTGTTAAGGAGTTTCATTAGTGTTCTTGGTTCTTTCGGTAAAGTCACGTAGAAGGAAAGCAATAATGCAAACAAAGGAGGTCCCATGATGTAGATGCTCACCCCGAGTCCTCATTACTCTGATAATGCTTGTCTTTGTGCTGTACGCCTTTTGGCGTCCTCTGCTCTAACGCCGTTTTGAGACTAGGTTAAAAAGAAAGCTGTCTGGTGTGGACCAATCAGTTTCAATGACAATGCATATATTATCAGAGTATGTATTTTGTTTGCATTCTGACCACAAGTATTGTGGTTAATGCAGACATGATTCCTTGTAAAAGTTTTCAGTTTGGTGTTGTAACATCTTAACACCTGTTTTGTTGCCAGAAAAAAGGGGAAAATCTATTCTCATTTCATAGCATCTTCAATAACTATGTAGTTTGAGAAGTTCCCAATGGTCATATTAAAACCATTGTATTCGTTACGGTTACAATGATACACTAATCGATGCCTGGTTATAGATGATTTGGTAATGGCTCTTAATGATATGGAATTAGGGAATTCTTGTTCTGTGACTTGATAATTCCATCATGAATTGGGGCTTTCAAATGTCCCACAAAAATAAATCACCTGCCTGGGAATTTCATGTCATACAACACTGCACCTGCTCAACTCTCCATGGATAATCAGGCAGTTCTACAAGTGGGTGGAGGAGCTCCTCGTATACCTGCTTAATGTGTTCACGACCAGCTCTGGTTTGGCAGCCAAAGTCTCACTAAAAATTAGTCAAGCAGCATTATTTCATTAGACTTTGTAACACTGTGGAAGATGCCTGGACTTTTGCTCCATACAAAGCTTTGAGTGTCCATCGCCAAGGTCTAGTCCGTCTGAGACCATCCCTCTCCCTGCCATACTGGCATCGTACCTGTCACTCACCCTTCATCCTGCGGATGTTTAGTGCACAGGATGGCACCACGTAGCCATTTCGAGCTGGCCCGACTTGGTTGCATGGTCACACGGCCATGAGTCGCTTGTTGGCGAACACAACCCCTGGACCTGGCTCTAGCGGTAATATCAATATAGAATATATGTAAGGATGCCTCCCAATCGACTCCCCCTGGAACTCTACCAGACACGTCCCACTGGGCAAAGACCCCAGGGCTGGCCCAGGATACGCTGGTGGGACTATGTTGCTTGGCTGGCCTGGGAAGGCTTTGGAATTCCCCAAGTTGAGCTAGAGTCTGTCGCCAGGGAAAGAGAGGCCTGGACCGCCCTACTCAGTGTGCTGCCACCGCGACCATCACCAGGACAAGCGTTTTTAGAAACAAACGAACAAAGCTGTGATTCTTCTTGGACATAGATATTACTCTGTTGATGCAAAATATGAACTTATTTAAATGACCATCTGTGCTGGCTTTTACAGTGAAGGCTGGTCTGCCTGTGATTCATCCTTAATTCAGCCAGACTATTTTTAGTAAGCTTCGAGATCCTTAATATATCAATTTAGAATATAATCATGAGTCTCTTCGATAGGCGAGGCTGCATTGGGCCGGTCATGAATCCCGCATTCCCAGTTACCGCGTGCTCAAGCAGCTTCTGTTAGTCCAGATATTAGGGGCTAAACAGGCATGGCATTGGCTAGAGAAGATTGGAGGATGTGATCGGAAACCGCCAATGACTGGTGTCAGTCGTGTCTATATTGGCCTCTGTGTAGAAGGCCCGTGAGGTATGCTGCAGGGCAGTTAAGATAAATTTGCTCTGCAACAACGATGAGGTCGGAGGAGTGACAGTTACATGAATGGGTAGAATGCTGAGTTCCTAAAACCCAGCAAGACAGTGGGGAGCGCAGCTGGTTCATCTGCCAGTCATCCCTTGACACCTGGATCATTCCCATTACCTGCTGATAAGGGATCTACACTTACATTGCCTTAAATTGCACCTATCATGGCATTAGCACTGATAAGGTAACTTCCAATTCGTCATGAATGGTGGATGTTTTGTTTATATAATTTGTCAATAATACATGTGAAATGTATTCGTATTTAAGAGTTTATCTTTGTGGGGAGCTGTGGCGCAGTTATTTGACTGCATTATGAACTCAACAATTAGTTTGATTGTCGCCGACAGTAAACACAATTGACAACACGCTGTAACAAAAAAATGCATTTGTCCCTGGGTAGTAAATGTTTTTTTCTAATTGCTTATGCCTCAAAAGTATAGAAAATGGCTATTATTCCCCACAAACTTTGCTTTTGTGACCAGGACAGTGATATTTTGCAATTTACCTATTTTCAATTAAAAACGTGTGCATTTGTGTCATTCCTTCACGTAAAGTCCTGGTCACAAAAGCAAAGTTTGTGGGGAATAATAGCCATTTTCTATACTTTTTAGGCATAACCAATTAAAAAATAACACTTGCTACCCATGGACCACAATCGTGTTACGTAGTTTAAGTGAAAGCTGAAGTTATTGTGGGCCTCTGCTATGTTGATTGATCTTAAATTAATTGCATGGTGAAGTGAGGAAGCATTAATACTGAGCAGATGAATGCGGCCAGGCATGGTTTTGGAGACAACACCACTTTTAACCATGCCAATGTGTGACAGTGTCAAGTTTGTATTTTCAGTAATGCATATTAACTATTGAACATGGAGGTTAAATCAAAAAATAGTTTATTTTAGTTTTCCTTTGGAACTTTTTTATAAGAATGGAAACAGTTAGGAAAATATCTCAGCACATATGCAGCTGAAGTTAGATCTGTTCATCCGAGCATTCAAGCTAATCTGAGCCTGGCTTCACACCTCGAAGTTTCGATTGAACATGAATTTATGCATTTCTGCATAATACAAATAATATTATTTTCAACACCCTTTGTTATGTTAGCTGAATTTTTCTTAAATAAATACTTTCGTAGCTAGACAGCCGAAATTGTGTGCTTGGTGTTTTGGGTAAACATTCATTTTGAAGATACTAGGGCATCCAGGCATATTCATGACCATTTTCCCTCATTGTGTGCCTTAAGAGCCCTTGTGATGAATTGGAGAATCTTTTTCACTATATAATGAATCTCTGAATAAGTATAGATGTGTAAGTCATGTGTGACTGTGTATACATTCCTCTGACGCTCCCTCTGACGCTTCCTCTGCAGAATTGATCTAATGGAGCAAAGGCACTCAGCGCAGCTCGGTACAAGAAAGAAACAATGCGACCAGCATGCAAACAGCACGGATCGTACTGGAAATTTGACACAGCACCAGAGAACTCACACAGGAGAGAAACCCTTCAAGTGTACTGTGTGTGAGAAGGCATTTGGATGGTCATCACAACTTAAAAGACACCAGAGAACACATACAGGAGAGAAACCTTTCAAGTGCACTGTGTGTGAGGAGGCATTTTCACAGTCAACACATCTTAAAATACACCAGAGAACACACACAGGTGAGAAACCTTTCAAGTGCAGTGTGTGCGGGAATGCGTTTGTAAAGTCATCAGATCTTCAGAGCCACCAGAGAACACACACGGGAGAGAAACCCTTCAAGTGCCCTCTGTGTGGGAAGGCATTTGCACAGTCAAAAGATCTTCGGAACCACCAGAGAACACACACAGGAGAGAAACCCTTCAAATGCAGTGTGTGTGAGAAGGCATTTGCAGTGTCATCAAATCTTAAAAAACACCAGAGAACACACAGAGGAGAGAAACCCTTCAAGTGCACTGTGTGTGAGAAGGCATTTACAGTGTCATCATATCTTAAAAAACACCAGAGAACGCACACAGGAGAGAAACCCTTCAAGTGCACTGTGTGTGAGAAGGCATTTACAGAGTCATCATATCTTACAATGCACAAGAGAACACACACAGGAGAGAAACCCTTCAAGTGCACTGTGTGCGGGAAGGCGTTTTCACGGTCATCAATTCTTCACAAGCACCAGAGAAAACATACAGGAGAGGAACCCTTCAAGTGTACCGTGTGTGAGAAGGTATTTGCACGGTCATCAGTTCTTCAGAGCCACCAGAGAACACACACAGGAGAGAAACCCTTCCAGTGCACTGTGTGTGACAAGGCATTTGCATGGTCATCAGTTTTTCAGAGCCATCAGAGAACACACACAGGAGAAAAACCCTTCAAGTGCACTCTGTGCGGGAAGGCGTTTTCCCAGTCATCACATCTTCATAGACACCAGATAACACACAGGCATCAGAAGAACCCCAAGGAGTGTGGTCTGAAATCGACTTGTGAAAGTCAAAGTGCTGCAATGAGCCCATCCCTCCTGAAAAAAGAACCAGAAGAAAATCCAAGCTTGGACACTTTAAAAGGTATCAAGGTGAAATGTGAAGAAGCGAATGTGAAATGTGAAGAGGCGACAGTGAAGAGCGAAAAAGTAAAGGTAAAATGTGAATATGAAGATTCAACCTCAAAATCGGACCTTCACATTGATGGAGGGAATGTGAAGCAGGAGGAGAATTCTGACTGTGAGGCAGAGCGAGACAACTCCCAGCAGTTTGTGGAAGTGGAGGTGTGGGTGGACTTCTTAGACAATACAAAGTCAAATGGAGACCCTGTAGATGTGTAAGCTTGAGACAATGAAGCTCCATTAGATTCACCTTTGTCACAGGCCTTTAATGAAATAATGTAAAGTTGAACACCTAATTCCTCTGTTCAACCTGCAGAGTAAGAGCAGCCAGTATTTGCGGACTTGTGGGTTGAGTAGATCTCTAACCAGGACCGAGAGCCAATACGCTCCCGAGCATTCACTGTTATAATAATATTAGCATTTATATGGTGCTTAATTGCCTCAGAAACTCGGAGGTTTGTATCAAATCTCATCACAAACACTCGAAGAGCATGTTGTATACATGCCTTCTCCAAAAATGTATATTAAGAGTGATCCTGACCTTTTTTTATTTCGATTGGGATGTAGCGCTGGGGCACGAAAAGGGTGAGTCCCCCGTTGCCTCCTTCCTTGACGCAAAAAAGACAGCTGGAAGATAATTATTCATAAGCCTGCTTGGGAAGTCATAAAATGTAATTTTAAAAACTGGCAATCCCAAGGGGGGGCTAATGAGATTCTGCGGGAAATCCCCAGTTGACTTCAAGAGAAGACTGCCATAAAAGAGAAGACTGCCATAAAGGAAACAACCCACAATAAAACCAACAAGACGGAAACAGCAGGGGTCACAAACCTCCCCGGACAGCGAAATCCACCCAAGGGCAGTTTATCATTATGAGCTGACTGGGGTTTTTTTAATACAAAAGTAAAGTTGGAAGCTTAGCTATATTTTCAACCTCAGGATATCAAAATATTACGTGAGAATAAGAAGCACGGATCCCTGGCGATACAGACAGGGAACAAAGGTTAATAAAAACCCTGGAATATCCTTGGTAACAACTATGGTATACCACAAATCTTGGTTAAGCATGAACCAAATAATTATTAAAGTATTAGACCTAGGGTCATTCAGAAGAGATACAATGTGAAATGTCAATCACACACGAACAAGATAATATGTATTCCACGGGATCAGAGCCTCACCAACTGCCTTTGTCTTCCAGTAGCTAACACAGCATATGGTAGCAGTAAATTATGTATGCAGGCGGCGCCTCCCCCTAACATATCAAATACCACGCAAGAATTCGAAACTGCGACGCGAGTGCTGTGAACGCTGCTCAGAACGTACTTTGAGTCTCTTGCAGAGTCAAAACTGCGGAAAGTGGTACGGTACCAAGCTATGAGAGGTGTAAAATTATTTATTATTACTTCCTACCCATGATGAAAGGACAGAAAACATGGCAACAGCAAGCACACCTGTGCACAATAGGTCACGACTTCAAAGGCCACAGCGCCCCTTTTTGAGAGAGACTGCAAGTCTGAGGCGAAATGTTTTTTTAACACTTCCAACCCGTGATGGGAGCGTGGGGAACGCTGCTGAAAACGTGAACGGAAACATGGTGGTAATGAAGACATCCGGACAAAAAGAGCCCAAGCGACTTTAAAAAGAAAACAGCTGCCCCTTTGTGAGAAGAAAGAGCCTGAGGTGGAAAATTTCAGATATAAGGAAGAATAGAAATCAATACTGCAAGTGGCAGGCTCCAGGGATTGCCCTCGTGACTGGAAAAATTGATAGGGAGCTCTGCAATGGCAGAAGCCACGCATCACGGAGAGTTTTAAAAAAATGTTTTTGCGCCATTCAGAGAGGCTGCCAGCCAAGGCTGGTACTCGCAGTATTACAATGCAAACGTGGGGAAGAGTGCTGTAGCATTACTATTCCCGGGGGTGAGGTCACTGTGTATAGCCAACACATGTGATCATAGAGTGACAATCGTTACTATTGTGCTCAGATCAAAGTCACAATATAACTTGATCTGTAGCGTGTCCTTTCTGCAGCACGAGTCGTACAGACAACTGGAAGAGGACTCTTGAAGAGGGGGGGGGGGAGACGACAGGCGTCCCTCCACAGTCTCTCCACAAGGATCAACAGTCTGGTGCCAAGGGGGGTGATGCGTGGCAACCAGCGGACGAGCTGCGAGCGGTGTCTGGCGATGGGATCATCACGCACATCAACGCAGATGGAGCCGGGCCCAACATCCCTGCCAGCATGGGTACCGCCGACAGCATGACCATCGTGCCGAATCGGCAACCACCCCAGCAGTGGAGAAAGACTGACGAAGCAGCCGAGAGCGCCGTGTGTTCGACACATGCCAACCCAGTGCCCCTGCTGGCGATCTGAGGTGTTTTTCGTACAAGGAATGTTGCACCTCAGAAGCCGCTAACTCAACAGTTAGCAAGAAGACAACACAACCAAACAACGTGCATATTGGTACTAATAAGATTGTTCCAAAAAGTTATCTTTGTGTTTCGAAAAGGGTTGCCATCCCAAGGTGGTGCGTTAACTATTTGCTGATCGTGAAAAGCATTGTTTTGTCCCTTGAGTTACAAGAATACGGTCGTTTAAAAGTATTTAGTCATTCGTTTTCATTAATTGCATAACATTACCAATCAATTCATTGATGACACACTAAACATTTAGAAGCTTCTATGTTACGAATCTACACACAGGAATACTATTGTTGAGATTTTTATTTTGATCACAGAATCTTGCCCGCGAATTCATCGATGTCGCATTAGCCAATTGATAAGCATCTGTTAGCCAAATAGACACAACTAGCATGCACACTGTTTTTTCAGGACATTTCGTTAATTGCATAATCTTACCAATGAATTCATTAATGTACATTTTTGCCATTGGGCACATGATTCTTTAGCACATTAAGGACTTTTCCTAACGCAGTGTATGGTTGCGCTACTCTGAGGAGTTAGCTGATTGTTCTGTTACTCAGTTTTAACAAACGTAACCATTGAGGGTTAATTGTACGGATCAATGAGTAGGACATCTTCAGGAGTACGGTATTGACAATTCCGATCATAAGTGTGTTCGCGTATTAGAGTGTTTTTGAATATTAAAGTTGCTTAACATAGAAGAGTCCGAGTGGTTTCTTCCTAAGTTCATGCATAATCTTAATTTATAGAACTGTATCCTGCATTGAGATCTGAATTCTGAGACCTGACAAAATTACACTAAAACATAATCAGTGAAAGTGAAAGCGAGAATCATTGTATTTTCACGATTGGTAATACACCCTAGACAACGAAGCTGAGCCAAATTTGCATAATTGCATGTAATTGGATATATCCAATAATTAGCCTAATTTGATACAATTACAGTTTTGTCTTTTTCATTCTTTTTTAAGACAATATACAAGTGTAGTGTATGTCACTGAGGCGCACATACACCGTTCTTGGAGTCGTCACTTTTATTAACAACTTTACTCACGCCGAAACCGGCGACGAGGTTGGTGGCTCCCCAGACCTCAGTAGCTGGAACCCTGAGAGAGAAAAGGTGGAGCATCTCTGAAGCATTGTTCCCGTGGACGCATGCCCCGGATATAGCCCCCAGGAATTGAGATGAATGCGCGTCGTCCGGCGGACATAACAGTTTGAGGCGCGACGCTTGTTTAGTGGCAGTGTTGGCCATGATCGCCACTACTCGTAGCCGGCAGTACTAGCTCAGTCCAGTAGAGAGCAGAAGGGAGGCCAGATTGGCTCAACAATAATGATGGGCAGTTGGCCCTGAGCAATCCCTGGGGGGAAGCATCGGGACCAACGGTTGGGACCCCAGGCCCCCGGAAGGGGACTGGAGTATGAGGTTCTGGAAGAGAGGCGTGGTCAGGGGTGGAGTGAGTCAGGACCCTGTATATAAGTCAGGGCTCTGAACGGTTCGAGTCAGTATCATCCAACTGAAGACTGAAGATCGACCTGGAGTCCTGAAGAGCAGAGCCCTGTGGGCAAAGCCAAATCCCTGGCTAGGGTGAGGCTGGAGCTGTACCAGTGAAGCTCTGAGCTTATAACCAGTGAAGACGTCAGAGAAGATTCAAGCCCCGGCAGGGTAGCCGTAGAGATAGCCGAAGAGGCAAGCTAGCCGGCTACGTAGAGTATCGGGTGAAAGGGGCCATTACCCCTTTGTATTGTAGCTCGTGAGTTATTAATGTAATGAACGTATGGCCTCCAAAGGAAAGTTCCCTCGAGTTTATTACCCACTACAACTGGTCTCAGAAGTGGCCTTATATTAGTGACAATGGAAACGCGGAGGAAGATACGTACCAGGACTCCGAGCGAAGAAGAAAACGACACAGCTGCCGACATACCAGCCCCGGTTGCAGACGAGGAAGCCTCGCTGGCCGAGACGTTGCCTGCCCGGCCACCCGGCGGGACTTCACCACCGGGCAGAGTGCTGTGCATGGCGCACTCCTGTCTCGCCGAACTCCTGCACACCGTGGCCTCCATCCTGGATGAAATCCATCGCATGGAGCCGGTGGCGGTGGCGGCCGTGGCCACTGCCAATTCCGGGGTTCCTGCACAAATTTTCGAAACTCCCTCCGAAAGTGGGGGAGCTTCTGCCGGAAGACAGATGCATCATGGGACTGACGTCACTTCCGACTTCAGGCCGCTCAAATCAGCGGTCGCCGCGTCAGCAGCGGTGCGACCGCCGCAACGAGCCGGCATTGTATGCACCAGCGACGGCGGAGTTCCTGCCAGAAGCAACAGAAATCTTCTGTCAGCGGGGCGCGTGCCGACCATCCATCAGCGTCTGCCCGTCCTTAAAGAATTTTCAGTGGTGGGCGGTGACTTGGCGGCCTTTCAGCGCCGCTTCCTCTTGCACCGTGAAATGGGATGGACAGAGGAGGAGGCGCTGTGGGCGCTCCCGGCCGCGTTGAATGACGACGCCCTCGCCGCCTTCATCACTATCCATTTCGCAACAGGCGGGAAACTCAGTGGCGCAGCCCGCGCATTCGGCCGCCATTTTGTCGCTGGCGCGGAGCACGCAGCCCACCAAAATTGAAGATGCGCCGTCGGTGCCGAGGAACATCCCAGCTCTCCAGTGTCGGCCTCACTTTGCTGGAGAGTTTGCGGCTACCAGTGACGACTGGGTGGCCTTCAAGCAGCGGTTCATCACGAACGCCGGCTTGGCAGGGTGGACAGAGATGGAGGCGCTGCGGGCGCTACCTGCCGCCCTCGATGACGTCCTTGCGGCATTTCTCGCCGTCCCGCCGCCGGAGAGGTCCACCCTCACACAGGCTTTCGACTGGTTGGCATCTATCTACAAGCCTTCGGCGAACGCGTGCCACAAATTCGCCACGCAAAGGAAGGGGAAGGACGAGTTGGCCCTCGCCTTCTGTAGTGTGCTTTTGACGCTGGTGAAATACGCCTTCCCGGAGATGGACCACAATGGCATCGATGCGTTGGTCCTCAAGAGATTGCTGGTCTTGGCGGAAACCCTCCATATCATTCTTCCAGCTGAAGATGATTACATCTCGTCTGTCCAGGTCGCTAAGTACATCCGAG